AACACAAGGATTAAAATAATTTAAAAAAAAGAAATACTAAACAGTACTCCACATTAGTTAATGTAGAAAGTGTAATATATGATTTGATGTAGGCCTAGGCCGACCATATTGAATTTCTTTAGGTTGTGTTCTTACCATTATTATTATTATTATTATTATTATTATTATTATTATTATTATTATTATTATTATTATTATTATTAATAATAATAATATCTATATATTAATTCTGCTAATCGCCACCGCGTAACTTGATCCCATATCTCCTCTGAAACAGCTGGCACGACCACATTTACAATTAATCACATCTATTCTGTACTGCAATGCTTAGGTCTAAATTTATCGAGTCAGGCCGTAAAAGAACCAGTCTGGGCCTAGGCCTATGTTTCGCAGCTTCATTACGTTACGTCCGCCCACAGTACTTCTCACGTTCGTCAACAAAATGGGTGACAAGCATGTTCTCGTACCTCTCCGGAGTACCCATTGCATTATACTGGAAATATTGTAGTTTTATGGCACAAAAGCAATAATGGTATGTTATATAAGTCAATCAGGTAAAAATAAAGGTACACCTGGGCACAAGCCATGATATAACCTCGGCCTAACCATACCGGCTAGACCTACACAGGCCTATAGGCACAGCCTTAGGCTCTGGCTCAGGCCTAGCCTAGCATATAGGTCTAGACCTAGGGGCCTAGGCTCAGGTGTAGAATTTAGCATACCTAGTTCATATCCTCTATCTCTCGAATCCGGGCCGATTTGGATAGTGCATTAAGATAGATAGGGTCAAGCCAGCTCTACCAATCAATACCTCGAATTTACGTAAACACGTCAGGACATGCTTACGGGTTCTTTTGAATGTCAGTAGTTCAGAAAAGCCTGACATGCATCCACCTTGATTCAAGACAAACACTTCTCTCATGCCCAACTAGGCTAGGCCTACTGTATATTGCTGTACTTTCACTTACAAGAGGGTAGCCCAAAGCAACAGGGGAAAATCCAGTAGGGGAGAGAGACGTCACTGGGAAGGGCTCCCGCTCCGTTTTGTCACAAATTTGTTTTAAATTTCAATGCAATATATGTGTTATTTGATTATTCAATTATTCTGAAACTGTTGTGCGCCCGCCTCCCCGTTTGAAATACTCTGGATCCACCCTTGATCACACTGCACAAGAATGCCTCACAAGGAATACAGTGTGCAGCAAAGACACTCAAAACATTAGCTGCAAAGATGTCCTTCAGAAAAATAATGACATATGGTAACCATAACATCCACAACGATTGCCTCCTCACCCCCATTCAACAATGTACATCATCGCCACCTTCCCCCCCCCCAATGTACATCAGATGTGTATAAGAGACAGCCACTAATTATTATTATTATTATTATTATTATTATTATTATGTTTATTATTATTATTATTAATGAAGTATTATTTTTTTTATATTTATATTATTTATTTCTATGCAATTTTTAAAAATGTATTATTTTTATTATTCTGCTGGCTGGCCCCATAAAACAAAATTATTAGTTTATCACCCTACCAAAGAAAAAAAAACTGATGAGGGAGGGAGGTTTTTTTTTTTTTTTTTTTTTTTTTTTTTTT